GGCACACCTATGATTTAATTAATAATAGCAATCTTTTATTGAATGGTTAGTGTATGCCATACCCTCTTTATAGTACTTATATAAACTATAGCATTATACTTTTGGAACAACTGTATGAGAATATATACCGTTATTAAACCATTTTATTGATGGAAAAGGAGGCACAGTGAGGTCACGTGATTTAACCAAGGTCATGTAAGTAAGTGAGTGGCACACATGGATTTGAGGCTGGGGCCCTGACTCTGAAGACTCTGCTCCCCAGGGTACAGCCCCCCACCCCCCATCACACTCAGCTAGAGAACACAAGTGCCTACCATGAAGCTCTCTAGGTCAAAATAACTGAGATAAAAACAAAGCTATCTTTTTCCAGGATGATTAGGACATTTGGAACAGGCTTCGAATGAAACAGGCAGAACTAACACAATCAGTTTCAGGCTGAGGCTTGGCGGAAAGGCCGCCCTGGTGAGTGGGCCCAGGGAGCGCTTCTTACGCTCTGCGGAGCGGGACCTGCTCCATGCCTGGATCTGCAAACCCCGCACGAGGTCCCCAAAGTCAGCATGCGCTGCTGGGCCCAGGTGGGCCACGCAGAACGGGAAGACAGCCACGGCAGAGCGTTTCCAGTCCTGGGGACGCTCTGCCCCTTCCCCAGCCACACTGTCGTCCTGGCCAGGCCCTCTGGGGGCAGGGACAGCCCCACCTGGCAGCACCCCCTCCCACGCTGCCTGCCATCATCAGGAAGCTGGGTCTCCGTGTTCCGGCTGGGAACAGTCTCAGAGCCCCGCGGACTGACAGCGATGCTCGGTTTCAGTCTGGCAGTAGCACACACCAGCTGTTTCCATAAACCTGGGCCAAAGATGGTCACGGCAGTTTAGAATTTCCCTCCTAAGTGAGTTTTAAATGAAAACTTCAAGTTTCTAAATCAAACAGTAATTCACTTTCCTACGAACGGCACACACATCCCCTTACAGTTTAGAACAATGACGGAGCACGGGAACGCTGACCTCCTCCTTGCCTCGGACACGCCAGGTGCGTCGTAAAGCACAGCACACCCCGGAGGCTCCCGGAAGGACCGGGCCTGGGGTGGCGAGGACGTTCAGCGGACTCTCTCACTCTGGTTTGTTCCATCCTGGTGCTCACTCCCGTCCCTCCCCCTCCACTTCCGGCTTACTCGTTAGCTCCTCTGCTTCCTCCTGGCCTTCGGCTGCGTTCCCCCAATCGGTCTTTAGAGTCTTCTCTCCTTGTACAACACACTCACGCAGGTCACAATTACCCACGCTCAGGGCTTCGGAGGTACGCTCGCCACTCCCAGCTCAGACCAGCCCTGCCCCCCATACCCAGCCACCTGCTGGGCCTGAAGAAAAGTACCCAAATGACCACTTTCTCAACCATCTCCCGCGACTTGCTTCTCCTTCCACAGTGCCTACACTGTCACCAAATCTCGCTCCGAGACATACCCTGGGACCCCTCCGTCACCACTCTCCCTTTCCAGGAGGACTCAGCGCCTCTGGTTCTGCGGGTCCCCAGGGCCGTGCGGCCAATGGCTAGAAGCGGGGCGGAGTGTGTGTAACACATACTCGTACCTGTGTTTTGTCACTATAAAACTGGAATCTTCAAAGGACAGTAAACTCATTGTAGGTGACAAAAAATAGCTTAAGCTCATCACTACAAGTTTCCAATAGTAATTCTGACCACCATTATATCATCATGCAATGTGTTAATAAAGGTATACATGTAATACATATATCACAAATTTGTCTTGAAGATATTTTGATAACTATAATTTTTCTATAACCTCATACATTTATTTTATGCACTTAAAAATATTACTCAGCGAAGGGGCCCACACACAAGAGAGCCAGAGAGACCCCTGACACAGAGAAGGCTCCGAACCTTCCCTGTGATGGCCTCCCGCCCACCCACCTGGGGCATGGCGGTGACTGCTCACGTGCGGTGACTGCTCACGTGTGGTGACTGCTCACGTGCGGTGTCATGCATGACGCTGGGCCCGAGGGCTGCTGAGATGAGACGAACACAGCTCCTCTCCTCAGGGTGGGCGAGAGGGGGAAGCTGACCATTACACACTGGGAGGTGCATGCCACTTTCTAGCTGACGGGGGCGCTGTGGGGACCTCGGGGAGGGGCAGCCAACCAACACAGAGACGGGGGAGGCCTCTTGGAGGGGACGATGGAGCCAAGTCTTAAAGGACAGGTCGGATCTGGTCAGGTGAAGAAAGAATGCAACCGCTGTGCCATGGACCATAGGTGTACGTTTCTGGAAACAATGATGCGTTGGAAATACTTGCTCCAGAAAAGGGAAATAGCTTTAAGCAGTCTTGAAGCACTGCCAATAAACAAGCACACTGTTTGATGCTGTATATCAAGTCTCTAGACCCAGGAAAAGGGAAGGAAGGAAACAGATGAAGGAAATTCATCTATTTCTAGATGTGGCTCCTTGACCGAATGGCACGAAGGTACATTTTTCAGCATTATTTTGGACGTTGAACAACTGAGATACATTGAATGATTTCTGCAACAAAGTGCGTGGCTCAAAGAGTCTTCCCACTGGGCAGTCCGAGGAAAGGTATGAAGTTTCTGACACGGGACAGAGTCTCCTTGACCGGACCATCTAAGTTAGGGATATGTCTAGTCTTGGGAGGTGGTTTTCAAGTTTGACTCATTACCAAGGTGATCTGGAAGGCGGCAGACAATGCCCAGTATCTTCCTAGAACCACCTGCCCTTTCGGGTTTCCTTATTTTCTCAAGCAGATGGGGACATGCACTGAGCCAACGCTCCCCCATGTTAAACTCCAGCTCCCTGTCTTTCATCACAGAAGCAGAAAGTTCCTGTCTCTTCACCTCTCTCTGCATAGGCGCATTACTCTAGTGGGGGGCGCGAACTCCGCTGGTACAAAGGGTAAGTGATTGATTAATCACGAGGTGGTCTCCCCCCATAAACTACACACACTGTCCTGCTTTCCCGAATGCTACAAGTGCATTTAATGCTGTCTCAAAAATCAAACACAGCCATTCCCTGGAGTTGGGAGTTTATTCCTCTGACTGCTGATATTAACTTTGAAATGTCTGCCATCTACCACTCTGTCCCCATGCTTCTCCCATAAAGGTGTCGGTAAACTTACAGCCCTGACGGTTGCCACACGCAGACCTCTACCTGGGAACGATGACGCCTGCATCGGATCTAACTTCGGGCAGGAGTAAGTCAGCACCTTCCTTGGACCTCGCTCCGAGCACGACACGCACACAGAGGCCAGGAACCAGGAGCCCTGCACGGCAGCCCCCCAGCTGCGAGGATGGGCCTGGACACACGGGGGTCCAGTCGGCCAGCAGGTGCGAGTTTTGGAAGTGAGCCTCTGCCAGTCCCATGATTAACTCGGACTTGAGCTGTTTTTATGAACTTCCAGCCTTGAGAACTGAAACGCATTTTTGAAGCAAATTCATTTCTAATTTAACGGAAAAACAAAGCACTGTTTTTCTTCTATTTTCTCACCCTTCAACGACTGAAAAAAAGTGAAGAGTCCTTCAGGGTTTCCTTCTGGATCCAAAACTTCAGTCTCTAGCCAACTGCTGTTTGGGAATGTGACGGCCACTAGGCCACAGACGGCGCAAACTGGCCCTTTCTGGCCCTTTCGAAAGTCCTCTCCGAGGGGTGCTGCTAGGACCGGTCGGATTCTGAAAACAGGTGCTAAGGGACATACACACTTCCTGCTTTAAGGGAGCTGTGTTGGGGGGAGGTAACAGGCAGGAAAGTTAACCCTGCAGGCCCGTTTAAGCCGGACGTCTCGAAGTCCACGGAGAGACCCTAAACTCAGCACGCTCTGCGCGGGAACTGCAGGCTCCTGGCTGCCCAGCAGGGCTCCTTTCACTGCTCCTGTTGACATCACAGCTCAGCACCGCCGTGAAGCCCTCAATTAGCACGGTCCGAAGGAAGACAAAGGCATGTGTGTAATTTACAAAAATGTCTACTAGCTACATTAAAAGAAGTATAATGGAATGGATGAAATGACTTTCAATAATATATTTCACTTGACCCAGTATATCCTTTTAACAAAGTTTCTCACCTGAGGATGTTTCACTGAGAGAGAGATATCGATGTGCAGGAGAAACATGCACTGGCTGCCTCTCACAGGCAACCTGACTGGGGATCAAACCCGCCACTTAGGTATACGCCCCAACTGGGAATTGAACCTGCAACCTTTGGTGTACAGATGATGAACTGACGAACTCAGCCACCTGGCTAGGGTGAGACCCAGTGCATCTTAAAACATTATCATTTCAACATGCAATCGATGTAAAAATATTAAGAAAATAGTTTACTTTTTTTGGCACTAAGTTTCTAAAACCCAATGTGTACTGCACACTTACAGTACAACCTGCTCGGGATGGACAGGCGGACAAGCGGTGCTGTGGGGGTGCCAGAGCCACCTGAATCCCAGGGAGCCTAAGCACATTCTGAACCACGGTGCCCTCGCAGGCCCAGAGACCGGTGCTTCCCTGCGGGTCTGTGTGAGATGCCAGCATCTGCAGCGGAAACTCACAAACGCTCCATCTTCCAGCCTTTGCCTTTCTGCACCAGCTGCTACAGAAAACTGGTTTGGGAGGGCACCCTGCTCTCGAGAGGAAGACAGACAGGCTCTCCGAGTCCCTGGGATGTAGCAATGGTAGCTCTTTTCCAGTGTTTTGCTTACATTTTCATGTAACTCACTTATGCTATAAGTGGCATTGAGAATCTTCTCAGTACAGAGCTCTAGAGAGAAGTGTGGACTCCAACTCAACAGAAATAATTAAAATATATTTAATTATGCAATCAGCTTTACTTAGTTTCTATGCACCATTCAAGGACAGCATCATTTCAACTAGAAGTAGAACTCGACATGGAATCTACAAGCCCCTGAGGCCTTTCAGATTCTAACCAATTCCAGCCTTTCATGTTCAGTAAATATGTCTACCCATCTCCGTACTTCCTTGCAGTACTGAAGTGATTACCTTGGGTAAATGTTCCTTTATGGTTTCGTTGTCTCTCTCCAGCACCTGCATCATTTCTTGGCCCCCGAGGTAGGCAGCATTAGCTAAATTGAAAAAAGAAAAAAAAGGAAAAAAAAGCCAAACACTTAGAACAGGCAGGACAAACACAAGTATCAAATCAATTGCAGTAAATTCCTGTTCCTGCCCCCAGCAACCTCTCCCTCCCCCCTTACTGGGCAAGGGCTATCTGCTGTCAGGCAGCGGGTGTGTCTGGAAACAGGAGCAGGTCCTGTGAGAGAAGCCTGCCCACCCTCACCCAGCTCTCTCAACAGTGACCTGTGCCAGCATGACGGCTTGAGGTCAGGCAGCATGGCAGATGATGTGTGACTGTTCCTGATCAATGTGTTTTTATGATTTAAGGCTTAGAAGCATGAATTTTTACAGATAAGTCATCAGAAGCCCACATTTCTACAGATCTTTACCAAAGGCCGCACCTCAGAGGAGCAGAGAACGGGTGGTCTGTGGCGGGCAGGATTCTAAGCAGACACAAACATCCCGTGCCCTTCCATCACTGCCTCCCTTCTGAGTGTGGGTGGAACCTGTGACTGTGATAACAGGTGACTCCCAGACCAAGGCATCCCACACAGTGAAATGCCTGTAAGGGAGAGGATCCTGGCGGGCCTGACCTTATCCCAGGAGCCCTCCAAAATCTGTTGGCAGGAGGGGAAGTCAGAGATTCAAAGCACTAACAGGAGAAATGCACTGTAGCGGGTTTGAGGATGAAACGCACGGAGAGAGGACCTGAGAGTCCTCTCTCTCTAGGAGCCGCAGGGAAAGCTGGCGAGAAAGTGGGGACTGCAGTCACACAGCCACAGGAACTGGACTTTGCCGGTACCCTGAGAGAGCTCAGAAGTGGATGTTTGGATGCGCAGGGGCATCAGGGAGGCTTCTGAGATGCAGGCAATGCTGACTCGTGAGCCGGGTGGGAGTTACGTGGGAGTCTCCCTTGATGCTCATTCATGGAGGCAAACATTCACATTTTAAGCACTTTGTTAAATTAGGAAAAGTTCAAAAATTCAAATAACGTGTCAGGAACTGCATTTTTAAAAGTAAAGTTTTTTGTCAAGCAACGTGTCTTACCCACCTTTACTCCTACACTTTTTTCCCTGATAATTTCTCATCTTAAGTATATTTAACATTTTTTAAATTAAAAAAAATTTTTGTTTACTTTTAGAGAGAGGGGAAGGGAGGGAGAAAGAGAGGGAAAGAAACACGTGAGAAATACAACGACGTGGCCCTAGTTGGGGACCTGGCCCACCACCCGGCACGTGCCCTGACCAGGACTCCAATCGGCGGCCATCCCTCGGTTCGCAGGCCGGTGCTCAGCCCGCAGAGCCACGCCTGCCTGGGCTCATCTAAGAACACTTTTAAAAATAAAAGACAGTAGAATACGAGTTGGCCTTTTCAGTGGCCGCCTCAAAGAAGCCATGTTTTTTAATCTTTAGAAATGTTCATAACACAACACAGTGATCAGAAATAATAATACCAAATAGAAGTGTCATTTCCTAAGGGGAAAACACATTGCTCTTGGCAATGACTGTAGGTAGCATTCCTGGAAACGAGCAGAATTCAGAGTTTCAGCAACACAGTGAAGGAAATATCTAGTAGCAGGAGTAATGGAAACAAAAACATAAAAGAAAGAATAGTTTAGAAGAATCAGAGTTGTTCACTTTGTTTTATTACAAATCTAAATAGCGGTGCTGAAAAACTTCACTGAGGAGTCTAACATGCCATTTTGTTCACTGCCACCATCTTCCACCAGCCGTGTCAACGTTCAAACATTACTCTAGGACTTCGACGTGCCACAGAGTGGCTCAGGGTTCGGGGTGGCTGAATGAGGGCTAACGCTGGAGACCAACAGGACATTCTTCTCACAGGTCAAATGGTATCACCCAATTCTCCAAGGACACATGATCTACAACAAAAGGCTGCCTTCTGTTGAACTCAGTTGCCTACCTGGATGTCATTTTGTCTGAAAAAAACTCAACTCATCTTTAAGTGCAATTTCATGTATCTTCTCCCCCCTTACTTATCTCGGTAGAACAAATCTCTCCTCTCCTGGTACCACTTGCACCCTGTATCTGTGTTCATAACAGCCCTTACAGAATAGAATTTACATAAAATTCTCCATTCGTTACCTCTACCATGCTGGAAGCAACCTACGGGCTGGGCTATCTCTCGTGTATCATTCTCTCCAGAGCTCATCTAAGTGCTTGGCTCACTTGGCTCACAGCAGGGATCAGTAGTGGTTGTTGAATGAAACAAACGGGCAGGGGCGGTAGCTGGTCTGGCTGGTGTTTTTCGGGAGGTGAGGAGTCTGGAGGAAAAGCCCAATGCCTTCTTTTAAGTGATGCTAGAGCTGCTATCACAACGGGGCCAGAACTGGAGTCTGAAACACACTGACACTGGTAGGCCAAGGTGGCAGGGACTGGCTCTCCATGGGGACAAATCATTGCAGGTTAGAGGGGGAGCCCGAGAGCGCCTAAGACTGGCCCAGAACTCGGCCACACAATGCACTGCTCAGTGCAGCAAGAGAAGAGGCAGAGGGAAGTAAAAGCACAGTTAACGATAAAACAGGAGGTTCTGGGGAGGTGTATGGTAGCTTTCTAAGGGAGAACCTGGAGGGTGGAAAGCCAAGTTTCCTTCTGCTTTGGTGGTCTGTCGATTCTGGAATGCCCCATTTGTTTGCTTTTGCCATTACACTGGGGAGACAGAGTTGCTGGTGCTGAAGCGAAGGGCATTGCTGGGGACGGGAGCGGTTTAACTGGGCGAAGTTTGAAGGCAGGAAATGGACCGCATGTGGGTGCACACTGCAGCGTAAGACGTGACTGTTATCCTGACCGACACGTAACTCCCAGTCACTGTGATTTCCTTACATGGCTGTCAGGTTCTCTCTGTCCAAAGCATATACCAGAGTTTCAAGCCATATGCCAAGAAAAGTTAATTTCTTCGAAAAATGCTCACTATAAGATTTGTTAGATTAGAAACAGGGTTTGGTATATTCACCTCCACAACGGGAGGGTGGCTGGGGAGAGTAGCCAGGAGTAAGCACACACATAGGCATGAAATAGCATCATTTTCTTTGAAGTTCTCTTTAAAATAAAAAGTGTACTGAACAAACACATAGACCAACAGAACAGAGTCCAGAAATAAACCCAAGTCTCTTTGGCCAATGGATATTTGACAAAGGGGGCAGCAGCATAAAAAAAAGTGTACTGACCATGAGAGGAGCTGAGATGTGCCCTGCTGCAGCTGGATGTGGGAGGAGCTGAGATGTGCCCTGCTGCAGCTGGATGTGGGAGGAGCTGAGATGTGCCCTGCTGCAGCTGGATGTGGGAGGAGCTGAGATGTGCCCTGCTGCAGCTGGATGTGGGAGGAGCTGAGATCCCTGCTGTAGCATGCCCTGTACGCAAACAGGCTCTGGAGAGGCCTGATGTGAGTCCACTGCACCCCAACCCCCTGAGAGGTTGTCTTGTGGGGCTTATGAAGCCCAGACACATCCAGGAGGGGTGGGGCTGTGGCAGGTTTTAGCTGTGGTGGGGAGAAGATGAGTTAACTGTCTCAGTCACTGGTTCACTAGTAGGGATGGGGTCAACCAGCTAGGTGTTGGATGGGTGGGGTGTGCTATGATGAAGTCCACGGAAGACGAGTCCTGGGACTGTCTTGGAGTGGGGATGGAGTAGATACTATGTACCTACCCTCATTTCTCTACTAGAGACATGGGAAAGTCTAGACACACGACTTCATATCCCTTGCAGCTAGGGATGCTGCGTGGTTCTGGCCAATAATCTATGGGCAGAAGTTCCTGGGGGGGGGAGGCTTCTCTTTCTAAGTAAGTCAAAGCCCCATCAGGAATAAGCTCTCAGCTTCCCTACCTTTCCCTTCATTTGACTGAAGGTCAGACCTGAGGCCTCAAGGGGCAGAAGTCATCAGGTGATCACGAGATGACAGCATGGAAATAGAGGTCTATATGCAAAGGACGAAAGGACCCACAGGCCTGATGGCATTGTTCTGATGTTCTCTAACACTGGACCAGGTGCCTCTATAGCCCTGGCACATGAGAAAAACAGGCTCCTGTTCCAGCCACTGTCACAGTTTTCTGTTACCTACTGCTCAACTCTACCCTAGTGGATTAAAGCAAGTGAAGGTGGGGCCTTTGGGCCTCCTGGGTATTTCTGGTCACAGCACAGGGGCTGCGGCTGTCCTTAACCTCCTATCAGATGCTGGCACTTGTCTGGGGAGAAACGCAGCGTCATGCCGTGTCTGCACATACTAGGACTTCTGCAAGAGCAGACAGAGGTAGGAGCCGACTGGAAAGGAGCCCTTCCGGGGACGGCCCCTCCCAGCACGTCTTCTGACTGGTCATGAGGCTGGCAGATGTTGCCGAATGGAGGGGTTAGGCAGGTGCTGCCCAGCAGGGTGGCGTGGGGGCAAAATCCTTAAGCTGCAGGGCTGTGAGACGGGACAGTCCCAGAGAGGGGAGTATCAGGTGAAGTCTTCTTACAAGGGGAGGTCTTTGGTGATCTTTATTTTTTCCAGATTGTTTTCAACCTTTTCCCCATGGTGCCAAATGTGGCTTTTAGCAATGTGAAAACCAGACTTAAAGATGTACTTCTTCCATTCTAAAATCTCTGCATAACTTGGAGGAATGTTTATTATCCACACAATGTAGTATGCATTTCTCCATAAACCAAGAATGTGGTTATTATAACCATCCACTTGGTTTGCGAACAGAAAATTTTATCTATGTGATAATAAGTTCACCAAAGTGCAAAACCCAACTCAAAGTGTATAATTTTAAAAAATTATACATTTTTTAGAGAGGTGGATAACTTATATATATATATGTAAAATTTTCTTTAAAAAAATTGAACAATCTTGTCATTTGACTGTAAAACAGATTGTATTCTAGTACCACATCGAAGCACCTTTTGCCCTAAATCCCTAATACTAACCACATACACACAGAGGAACCTTTTTCTCCACTGCTGAATTTTAGGCTAAACTTCCACCAGTCAGCGAAGTTGCAGCCGGTGCGCTGGCTTCGGCCGCACATTTACTAAAGTGGGACGATACAGAGAAGATGGGCAGGGCCCCCACTGATGACGACACGCGCCTGCAAGGACGACGGGCAAGTCGGTAAAGTTGCAGCTGCATCCGTACACGGACCCCCCCAGTGACAGAACAGGTGACACAGGGTCCAGTTCTGTCTTGTTCAGAACAGCAATCCGGGACTGAGTTCGACATATTCTGAGAAGAAATGTGTGCTTCTTTAGTGAAGCCCACTGAATAGTCCAGTTTTTTTCACATTATACGTGTTTTCAAAAGTTATCTTCACACTGACTAAGGAGAGGTTTTGAAAGTTTCTTTACAAGAACGTGCGGCAGAGCGATGCCACCCACCAGGAAGGCCCTCTGTCTTGGCTGGCACTGTTTCTGCAGTTCGGTCACTGAAGTGGATTAAACATTGCATCATTTGGCCCAACTAATGGAAAGACCCTAGAATATCTTTTAAAGTTAATTATCTTGACCTGTGAAACCGCTAAGCTAAATTATATTTGCTTTTAGCTTTGATCAGAAAATTCAATTTAGCTGTCTCAGTGAAAAGTCTATTTCTCATGAAACAGAACATCTATTCTAAAGAAAATATATAGGAGAAAACATTCTAGAATCAAAGTAAAAAAAACTTACATATTTTTTAAAAGAACACTTAAAACCGTGTAGCTACGCAAGTTGAACAGATGAGCACTAAGGTCAAGTTTCTGAAGGGCGCTCCCTGAGTGAAGGCTGCTCTTCCCTGAATGCCGGACAGGAATGGGGGTGCGCCACTCAGCCTGGTGAAGGGGGTGAAGGCACACAGACTCAGCCTGTGGGAAGGGGTAGCAGTGACCGAAATACTTCAGTATTTTGGTTCCTTGAAATTTTCAGACCTTGCAATAACAACAACAAGAATCTGTGCGTAAACTCAAGGATACAGAAGCCCAGTTTCTAGATAGGGCAGGATTTATTGTCCACCACTTGGACTGGCAGACTTCCTCCGTCTGTTTCCGTAAGATTTCTACTGAAACACAGACGTTACATAATGAGCAAACATCGCAAGGCCTACAAGTCAAGCTGGCACACTGAAGGTCATTGTCAGGATGACGGTCAGGCCACCGCGCAGCTGGTCCGTGGGGGAAATGTCCAGAGGGCACAGAGAGAGTGGCCCCTGAGAAAGATCTGGGACCTGGTCTCCTTTTCTCTTGACAACCCCTCCCCTTGTGTGACCTGAAAACCACGCCACCGACTCAAGGAGCTGGTCGAACAGTGATGACCTTCACCCTGCCTGGGATATAAGCTTGGGAAGAGTCTGCTAACCATCTGTAAGGGCCAGTCGGTGTCTTGCAAGGACTGCTTCCTCTCAGTGGGACCTCCTATTTGCAGTAAGCAAGGCAACAGGAATCACCTAAGGCACGACTAGGACAGGCCCGGGCAGAGGCAGCTTCTGTGGTGGTGGTTGTGAGAGGAGGCAGGAGTGACAGGGACTCAAAGTGCACAGGTGGGCAGGGGCTGGCTAGGATAAAGGAGACGCTCGGGTGAGGGTCATCCAGACGTCACCACTAGGAGACTCAATCAAGAACTCTAATGAAGAGAAGACGGGTGTTCTTGCCCCTTTCACTCTATCCAAGGTCATGCAGACTGAGTGGATAATGGGCAAAAAAAAAAACCCCCCAAACCAGAGATCACCGAAGTCCTGGCTACTTACTCGGGCATCAGAAGGCCAGATCCAGAATGAACAGAATTAAAAGTCAGAGCAGGAAGGGATGTCAAAAATAGCAGGGCTGTGCTCCACACTCTGTTTACAAGTTGGTCGTTTGGGACCGCGATGAAGCAATGTGGCCGTGATCAGTGCGGTTTAGAGTCAGTTTTGCACACAGCGTAGCTCTACATGGTTGTGCGGGAAAGGAGTCCCAGGGCTTTCCGAGTGACAGTGAGTCACAGAGAGGACAGTGTCCTGCATCCAAACTGCCCTGCTCCTTGATGCCTGCACTTGGTGCTGCGAAAGATGCAGGCCAGACACTGTAGCCTACAGGAGGATTTCTCTCTCTCAAGTGCAGCTTGGGAAGGCTACTTCTTTAAGAGGGTATTTGTAATTCTGATATAGAAAGAATGGAAAACACCTTTAACAATTACCTGTTTTAAAAGCATTAAACACTAGAATATTTGTCATATGTAATGTATTCAGCCCTCTGTATCCACGGGTTCCACATCTGTGGATCCAACCAGGCTCGAATCAAAAATAAAAAAAAAATCACAAAAAGTTTCAAAAAGCAAAACTTGAACTTGCCACGTGCTGAACAGTATGCCGAACCCACTCAAATGAAGCGTGCATATGTATCGCACTGCAGCCTGTGTGCAAACACCACACAATTTTCTTTTTTCCTAATTAAATTTCTTGGGGCGATATTGCTCACTAAGATTATATAGGTGTCGACGGTAGGCTTCTATGACACATGATCTGTGTACTGATGGCGCGCCCACCACTTTCCACAAGGGACCACAGAACCCAGGAATGTCCCCGTCCATCCTGGAACCCATCACCCATCTGACAAATGCCTGTGTATAGGGTCATTACATTCACATAGAAAGACAAATAAAACTTTCTTACATCCCCTGTCTGGATTTGGGTTTAGAAAATACTTTGAAGGAGGCACAGGAAAGTACAGGTAGTTGCCTATCTAATGCCTATAGAAACCCAGATGTTTTGGGTAGAGTGTTCTATAAATGTCTATTATATCCTGGTGGTTGATAATATTATTGAGTTCTTCTATATCCTTGTTAACTTTCTGCCTTGCTCCATCGATTGCTGAGGAGGGGTATTTAAGTATTCATCTATGTATGTTTGTAGATTCATTCATTACTGCTGTCATTTCTGTCGGTTTGTGAGTCAGATACTTTGTAGCAATCCTGTTTGGTGTATGCACATTTAGGACTGCTATGTCCTCCCGAGGGAGTGAGCCTTTGGTTACTATTATGCAATGCCCTTCTCTGTCCCTGTAACTTCCTTTGTTCTGAAGTCTGCTATCTGAAAGAGGCTTCTCCTACTATGGGAGAGCACAGCATTCCTACGAAACCTTTCCTAAGCCAAATGGCATAAAGCACAGAGCGTCTCCTGATTTCCAAAAGTTCACGGTATACCGCTTGGCTTTGATGAAAGAGCAACATTAATGTGGTAATGCTTTTGTTGTTGTGATTGTTGTTTTGAGTGGAAATCCTCTTTGGATTTCTTCTGATCAGTGAAAACAGGTAACAATTAAGTATTTTGTAAAAGTGAAGTGGTGTCCTGCCAACTTTTGGAAAGCAGGGGATACCTGCATTAACACATTCATTCCTGGTTCCTTTGGATCAGTGTTTGCATGATACATGTTTTCTCATTCTTTTACTTTCAGTCTAGATATGTACTTTTATTTGAGCTAAGTTTTCTGAAGACAGTGTATAGTTATGTCTTTAAATTCACTCTGCCAATCTTTGTCTTTTAATTGGTGTATTTTGGACTTTTATAGTTAATGTAATTATTGGTATATTAGAGCTTGTATGCCATTATTTGTTTTATGTTTTTTGTTTCTCTGTGTTCTCTTTTTTGTCTTCCTGTGCATTACTGGATATGTTTTACCATTCCATTTTGATTCGCCTGTGGTGTTTTTGAGTATCTCTTCTATAGATTGTAAAGTGGTTATTCGTGCCCTGGGTTCCTGCAAGGATCCCATGCACGCCACGCAAGAATCCCTCTCGCCTTTCTGCATCTAGAGTGGAGAAGTAGCAGGGTAGGGCTTAAAAGTAAGGCTTGAAGAGACTTTTCTATCAGTCAAACAAAGTTCCCCCCACTCTGTTCTCATTTTATTTCTCGTTTTAAACTGTTGGAAGGAAAAAAATCCAACAAGTGATTCCCTGGTTGCTGTTCACCCACTGCCTCAGATTATTCTCCCAGTGCTTTCGGGCAGAATAATACAACCCACACATGTTCAGTAAACACGCTTACTCACCAAGGCAGAATGGCTCCAACACGCTCAGGGATGAAAATTCATTCTGCAAGTTCATCCTTTGAAGGGCACTTCTGAGGAGCCAGGACTTGATTCTCTCTGGACATGGTTTAAGCAGCAAGTAGCTGGAAGCATAGAGAACATACCGAAGCCAGCACAGGAGTGGGGTGGCGATCCTGCCATTGGGTGTCTCGGACATTCGCTCAATTGTTGGGAAGAGCAGACAGGAGCGAATTACCTACAAGAAAAGCATATTTTGATGAGAAGTTTCTTCAGGGATAACCTATTGCTTTACTGCTTTGTTTTTTTAATACAGTATTGGCGAATGCCTGGCTTATGTCTAAGGGATCTGTTCACACTAGGAATCATCACCCATCGTTGTCTCAGCCCACAGCCAATCTGGGCGGGACACAAGGATGTCCCTTGAATTGTCAGGCTTAATTTTCAGGGTGAGAAGGAGATCAGATTCCTGGGTAACTCTCTGATTATGACAGCAACTCCTAATCCCTTTGAAGGATGAATGAAAGGAGAAATTAATATACCATTTCAGTAGCTATTAACAACTTGATTTCGCGAATGAAATCAGAAGTGGAGCCACATAAAAACTCTATTTCTAGTCAGCGTTTAACAAAACTGATTACATCTGGAGACAGTCCGCTTCTGAAAAGCTCCTCTGTTCCTTAATCCTATTGACCAAGGACAATCTTGAACAGGCCAAGGACAAGTGAGGTTGGAAATCTTTTCCTCAGGGGAAAATGTTTAAGGACAAAAATATAATCTCAACTCAACTTCTCAGAATATCAGGAAATGAATTCTAATAATACTCCAGGAGAAAAAAGAGTATTGCTAAACATTTTAAAATTTACCATTATTTAGCGTATTAATATTTAAATGATTAGCATATATGTAAAAACAATTTCTATGGGGAACAGAAGTCAATAACAGAGTAAACAAAAATGGAATAGATCGTCGATGTTAACAGGTTGCAGAAGAGGAAATAAGACTGAATTCAATGGTTTCGCTGTTTAAAAAAATCAAAATTGTTAAGTATCACATACTGAAAAGTATACACAATTTAAATGTGACATTTGACAAATAGTTTATAAAGTGAAGTTATGTAAGTCAAGAAACAAAACAGCCAGCATGGTGTCTTCCAGTCACAACTCGGCCCTGCCTTCCCTTGCTTTATACCAATGATTACCATCCCTCACTGTTAAATCACTTCCTTGTCTGGCTTTACATTAATACCTTTCATCCTACCACAGAATGAACTGTATCGCCTCCAAATCTACCTTGGTGCCTCTGGACGATGTTCTAACCAACCGAGCTACCTGGCCAGGGCTCCAATGTGACTGTACGTAGAGAGAATGATAATCAAGGTTAAATGAAGTCATGAGGGTGGGACTGATAGGACCAGTTACCCTTATCAAGAGAGACCCCAGAGAGCTCGCGCTCTCTTCCCGAGCATACGCAGAGAGGTCTGGTGGCCTGGTGAACACCAGGGGAAGGTGGCCATCTACAAACCGGGAGGAAGTCCCACGGGAAACTAGCCAGGCTGGCGTGCTGATCTGGGACTCCCAGCCTCCAGAAAGAACACATGTCAGTTGTTTAAGCCACACAGTCCATGGCATTCTGTTACGGCAGTTCCAGCAGACTAATACACATCCCTTAATACTGGAGTTAACTTCCTTCTGTTAATGAAGTTTATATGAGTGTAATCATGCAGTTTATTTTCACATTTTACTTCTCTGACTCAACATTGTCTGTAAGATTCATCCATGTTGATAAATGTAGCAATAGGATTTGTCTATTGCAATATATTTGTCTATTGTATGAACATACCTCAACTTACTTATTTTACTGAGAGCTATTTGGGTTGTTTTCAGTCCAGATACACTGTAAGTATGCTGCTATGGACATTTTCATACGTGTTTCTTGGTGCGCATGTGCATGTGTTTCTGTTGACTGCATCAGCTCGAAGTAAAAACACAGTATCCATGTGTTCAGCTTCAGTAGATAACCCAAAGAGCTTTCCAAAGAAGTTGTAGCAATTTACCCTCGTAACAGCAGACATGCGAGTTCATATTTTTACCTGTCTTCATCACATCTGGCACTGGCAAACTTTGTAATTAGACTAACCTGGTGTATTTCCCTGTGGCTTTAACTTGTTGAATAGCTTTTCTGTGTTGATTGGACATTTCCTATCTCCTCTGGGTGCTTATGCAAGTCTCTCACACATTTTTCTATCAGGCTGGCTGTCTCTTCATTTTTCTTATTGACTCACAGGAGTTGTTTTTCACTCTGCATACCAGCCCTTTACCTCGTGGCGGTCCTCAGCTTACCTGTTGAACTCTTATTAGTTTTACCTTTTTCATAATGGAAGTAAGTTCTTAAGTTTGATGCGGTTGAGTTTAACAGTTTTTTTCCTCTATAGCTATTGCTCTTTGTGCCTTGTTCAAGAAATTCTTTAACCTCAAATCATGAAGCTATTTTTCCCTCAAAACGTCTTGAAATCAGGTAGTGCTGCCTCTTATCTGTCCTACAACGTGGGTTGAAGCCCTCGTTTGTGTTTAACTTCGGTGGGAGTCTGTTCCTGCAATCTCAGGCACCAGTGACTTGTCACTGCCCTCACACACGTACACCCTCCTGCTGGGCAGGCTGAGTGCACTGTGCCCACCAGGACCTGAGAGTAAAGGTGGGTGTTTGTAGACTTGGTCTCCTAGTCCTTTTTCACTGTAACCTGCTGGATGGCGCTGCCTGAATGTTGAACTCGATCAGGTAGCACTTGTAATTCTGCCTTCATGTCGCTCTTATTAATGGAGAAAAAGGATCTGAGGGGAAACTGTGCAAGACTCTTTTCTTTCTAGCCATATCTTCTTGTTTTTCCTTGGTCATATCTGTCAGCTAAACGTTCAGCCATTTCCTGTAGACTTTTCCTTTGCTCTCAACAATGACAGATATTCTAGTTGTTTCTTTTTTGGTCACAATAATTCGACCTCTACTAGACCTCCTCCTCTGTTACATAAGTAAGAATGACCTGTTCCCTGAATACCTCTGTGGCTTCGATGGGGAATAAAAAACATTCTTTGGGATCAGAGGGCCACAGCCTTTTCAGATGATTTTTAAAATCCTGGCTTGGCAACAACAGATTGCAAAATGCTCATAACTTGCTTTTTGAATGAATGCAGGGTTTTAGCTGGAATACAGGAGTTTCGCCACCTTGGCATCTTCTCAAGCACGGATCAGAGATGCTGGATGTACAGATGGTGCTCAGTAAGGCCTTACAGGCATTAGTGGGTATCGGCAATGACCCCGGCTCCAGAATGTCAGGAATGATCCAGAATCCTCCCGGAATCAGAGGCGGCTGCCTGGACTGCAACGGGTTTATACAAATGTCATACACAGGTGATCCCTGAACAATGTGGGGCTTTGGGGTGCCTCCCCCATTCAGCCAAAAGTCTGTATATAACTACTGACTCTCCCCAAACTCAGTCATTTCTTATTATCCGAAGGAAATTAGTCCCAGAATCCCCATAGATACCAAAATCTGCAGATTCTTGTCTCTTACATAAAAAGTATAACAGAGGTGTCCAACCTTTTGGCACCTCTGGGTCACACTGGAAGAAGAGTTGTCTTGGGCCACACATACATCATGACACGTAATCACAAAAAAACTCAAAATGTTTTAAGCAAACTTATGACTTTGCGTTGGGCGGCAGGCTGGGCACCGCTGAATGCACACAGCCAGCTCTCCACATCCGAGGATTCCCAGCTGTGCATGGAAAACAGTTTCCGATCCATGGTTAGCTATAGCCTTGGACGTGAAATGCAGGGATCCAGAGGGCTGACTTTATATTTATTGAAAAAATCCATGCATAAATGAACCCATGCAGTTCAAATCTGCACTGTTCAAGATTCAACTGTATAAAGATTAAGTGGGGTTAAGAGATCTCTAGGAAGTATCAGTGGACAAGAAAAGTCAGTTAAAGGAATCATTCGCAGGGGGAGTTCCGGCCACGTGCACTCAAACACGGACACAGAAGGGATGATGTCAGCTCTGGAATCCCAGGGCTTGTCTGCTATCTGGTCGCCTCTGTTCCCTTCTAGCATGACACACGGGTACGCACGGGTTCCCGCTGCGGCAGTTACTGTGGACGACACAGGGCCAGCAGACGAGGGAACTCGGGCCCCGTTCTGACTCCTGTCTTCAGCTGGAGGAAGCGCAGGTAAAGGGCCTAGCTGCTCTCCCACCTGGCCAGTTCTCTCCATTCTCCCACTCGATACACAGTGGGCACGGAACTGCTTCTCTTTGCACTTTAGTCCAAAGATATTCTTTGGGACTTCTCCAAATGGCTCCAAGTCAAACGTGACTGCTGTCTCAGAGACGTGGAACGTGTCCTTCCGAGTGGCAAATGGTGAGAAGTCTCACAATACTGAGTGAGAAGTCTTCAATATGAGCATGAAGACGTGGGTCAAAGGGAACTCTTAAACACAGCATTAACCATTATACTTCCCTCTTCTTTTTTTTAAAGTACAGTCCCATTAGTGGGTGTCTGGAGCTCACACAGAGTAAATTTTTATTGCACTGTCTAATGTTAGCAGCTTACTTCAGGGAGCTGGTGTTTCACTTGGATATCAAGCAGTGTGCTTTAAGAACGCGAGAGGTAGAAACAATGAAAAATTTTCAGCATCTGGAGTGGTGCTACAATTAAGCATTGATCCCGCACCTTCAGTGTATGTGCTGCTGAAGCGAGCAAGATTCTGCACCTTCAAGTTTACAATTCTGCCACTACCTCTAGGGTAGTTCTAATATCATGTCTTTTTACTCCTGTAAGTGTTTCTGGACTTAACAAAACCTGAGAGATTTAAAACAGGGGCGGATTCACAAAAAGCAACCTTTGGTGTGGAGAGAGGTGGGGTTTCTAATGGCCCTGCTGGGACTTCCTGGCTGAGGGGCTAAGCAGGGGCTACCCTCCCGATCCCACAGGAAGGGTCCTCCCTGGTAAACAAGAACAGGGCTCCTGACGGCAGCTTCGGTGGCAGCCAAGGCAATGACGAAGAGGCTGACTTCTCAGGTCCGGCCCAGCCTCAACCCCACCTGGATGGATGTGCTACCGTAAAGAAGCCAGGTCGGTCACCGTTCACAGTCCCTGCAAGTTCTCTGGCAGCCAATGTTCTTCAGTAATACCTCTAAAAGCTCTATGGTCTAGTCTTTCACATCTAGGTTCACAATCTACCTGAAATGTATTTTTATGTGTGGTGTGAAATATGGGTCAAATGCAATTTTTTCCCATCTGGAAACCCCATTGTCCCGGCATCATTAAGTGCAAAGACCGCCCTTCCCCTGCCTTTCTGCAGAGACACTTCTGTTGTAAATCCTGTGTATGGGGTCCTTTTCCGGGCTCTCTAATCCGTTCCACTGGGCTACTTCCCGGACTCTGCGGAGAGCACAATGGCTGATTTACTACAGGTTTATAACACACTTTGAATCTTGGTAGAGTAAGTTAACCCCCCGCCTTGTTCTTCAAAAAGCCTTGGGTATTTTGGCTCTCTGCATATCCATAAACATTTTGGAACTGGCCCTTCAAATTCCACAAATACCTTTTCTGAGATTCTGATTGGGATTGTACTAGTAGTCATCATGTATAATTTTTGTCAGATAATTGGGGACTTATTTTTTATACTTTTGTAAATAGAATATTGAAAAAATTTCATTTTCTAAATGGTTGTTGCTTACATGACATAAAAGATATCTACTTGTTGATTCTGCATCCAATAAACTTACTAAGCTCCTTCATTAGTTCTAATAACTTGTCTGTAGATTCTTTTGGATTGTCTAAGTACGTACTTGTATCATCCACAAATAGAGTTGTTTCTTCCTTTCCAATCCTTGTATCTTTTATTTTTTCTCACTTTATTGAGTGATCCAAAGCCTTAATATAATGCTCAATAGATATAATTCTTTCTCCTAAATTCAAACATAATTTCAATATAAGTCACCAGAAGGCATGATGTGTGCTGAAGGTTTTCTAGAGATATGCTTTATAAGATTACAAAAGTTTCCTCTATTTGTAGTTTGCTAATTGCTTTTAAAAATCATAAATGGATGCTGAATTTCACTAAATATCTTTTCTATACCTATTGGGAATGATGGTGGGTTTTTCTCCTTTTACTTATTAATGTGGTGAACTATCACCTGATTTTCTAATGTGAAACTGACTTTCCATTCTTGGCATAAACCCACCATCTTCACCACCCTCTGTGTACGCTTCTGTCCTCGGCTTTCGAATATTTGGTTCAGGGCCTTTGTGTGTTGGTAAGTGAGGATGGCTGGTAACTTTCTTGTGTTACTTTTTTTTTCTAGATCTGGATATAAAGGTTTGCTAGTTTGAGAAAACTGAGTTCAAGAGTATGTTCTCCTCCATTATTCTCCTCCTCCATTGTCTAGAGGATTTTATAAAAGAATAGAATGACTTATTTTCTAAGTATTTCTAAATATTTGCTAGAACTCACCAGAGAAGCCTGGAGTTTTATTTTAAGAATGTTTTGACTACTGATTGCTTCATTTTCTTTAATGGCTTAGAACACTCATTCAGGCTTTCTGTTTCTTTGGGAATCTGCTTTGATGTTATCTTTGTCTAGGGATTTGTGCATTTCATTGAAGCTTCCAAGTGTACAGGCATAAAGTTAGTTTATAACACCCTGGTGTTACACTCCGACCTCTGGCCCACCAGCCTGGCATGGCCGCTTTCCTTTCTGATATCGACTGTTACTGCCTGAGACAGGAAGCCTCTGATACCTACAGGAAGTCTCTTCATCTATCGTAATGCTTTTCCTTTAGTGTTTATTTTGTTTGCTGTTAACATAGCGACCAGCTTTCTTTTGGTTAGGATTTGGAAGATATAAGTTTCTCTTCTTTTACTTCCTGCCTTTTCATAACCTTAAATTTAGAATAGTTAGGCTTTTTATATAACCTGACCATCTCTGTCTTTTAACTAACATGACTAACACGTTTACTACCTTTTCACTTAAATAATTGCTAATATTTTGGAGCTAAACCTGTAGACTTAAAATCTTATTTTGTGCTTGCTATTTTTTGTTTCCCCTTACCCCACTTTTCTTTTTTTTAAATATCTTTTGCTTGAGAAAGATATAAGTAGTAAGATATAATTGACATACATGATAATTATGTACATGATATAAAATGAGTAAAACATGTATGTAAATAGCAATAAACGAATAATAATTTTAAAATGACCACGTGACAATGTAAGGGACAAGTAATGACAGGTAACGCGTTAATAACTGAGTAGAAGATGGAAAACCAGAGGAAGTCTCAGGTCCTGCGGTGGGCCGGGGAGGAAATGAAGTAGTGGGAGGGGCCAGCAGCTGTGGGAGGCAGGGCTCAGCTCTAGGTCAGGTGTCCCGGGAAGGCCTCTGTGTGAAGGGCTGTGTGCAGGCAGCAGGGAGTGAGCTGGAAGATTCCTGGGAAAGAGCTTTCCTGGGAGAGGGGGAAGCAAGGGCCAACGCCATAGGACAGAACCTGTTTGGTGAGTTTAAGTCAATGCAGGGAGCGGCACTGCTGTTCTTTATAGAGGGCCTACCAGGACTGGGTGTTAGTCCTAGTGGCCGAGACCCCTTTGAAGGGGTCTGAAAACGGGAGTGACTGTGCCTGGCTTCCATTTTAATAAGACCCCCTGGCTGTTGTGTTACTGCTGCTCCAGAACTATAAACCCAATGAAAGTAGATGAAATAGATGAGTTATACACAGGGAAAGCAAAATTATCAGTATCTATGGTATATGTTTTAAAAATTCAGGTGTAAAAATAAAAGCTAAATACAAACCTAAGAAGTAATGTACAGCACTTATCTAAACAAAAACCTCAAAATTCAAAGTAGTATTTCTTTATTCTTCTATTGCAAAAGAGATAAAATCTCCCCTTAAATTAATCTATCCATTCAATTCATTCAATCCCAATTAAATTACTAAAAGGTGACCCCTATTTTGAAATTGAACCAATTATATTAATGTTAATCTGGGAAACAGAATGTACTAATAACTAGAAATTCTGAAAAAGAAGAAAGAGGGGGATTAGCTCGACTAAATATCACACATATTAGTTCGACCCATAACAGAAGCTACAACAGTTAAAACCGTACGACAGAAAAGGACCACACAGCTCAAGGGATAAAAGAAAGTCTAGAAACTAAAGACCTGAATATATACAGGAATTAAATTGATGATAAGATATCATCGGAAAAAACAGAATTGTTCAATAAATGCAGCTGAGAAAGCTACAAAACAATTATTTGGACTAGCAAGGCGAGTTGAGCATCCATAATAGGAGCGTTTACCTGAGTTACCGTGCGCCCCTACCAGGGAATACTACACTACAGTGAAACGCTAGATCTGCGTGTGCTGACAGTGCAGATGTCCGAATCCTAGTTCTCCTGCTCACCCAGCTGGTGGGACTGTGGATGAGAGGGAGTTGACAAGCTTGAAACGAGACACTCTTGGGGCCCACGTGTTCTTTGGGCGTTTTTATTCCCAAGGTGCAAAGGTAATTTTGCTTATTTTCACCTTCCTAAACTGTGTCCTCTAAGTGATACCTGGAAAATTAGATGTCACTGAATGATGTAATCCTCACTAATTGGAATTTAACTAATCATCTTTCAATCTTATTTGCTCCTCCAGGCCACTTTTAACCATACTGGGAAATCAGCAACCAAGTACTACCAAGAATTTGGTTAAAAAATAATTCCAGGGAACAATATGAGGTCAGCACAGTTAACCCTAATCCCGTGAACCTCCTGTGTTTATAACTACACTGCAGATGGTAAGAGAAGTTATTCAGACGAGGGCTCTTGTGCTACAAATTCTTCATTAGGAAAATAAAATCAAACGGTTGTATTGTCCTGTTCAGGAAAGCAGAAAAGTATGCTAAAGTGCATTATAAATATTTTAAATGAGAAAATCAGAAATAAATGTTTTGCTCCTCACCCCCAACCCCACTATGGCCAATCCACAGTTAACCAGAAAAATCAACGAAAGAAAAGGATCCATCTTCCAAAAAGCCCAGTAATTTAGTCATCTTTGAATTCAGTTTCAAGCTTATTCACTTCAAAATAAGGCTTTCTGGTATTTATTAAAACATCCTCAACGATTTAGAGAACATAAACAGTTAACACAGTTACTGTCACACTAGTCACCCTGCCCTACTGCCGCCACAGCTAGTCATGTGACCCACAGTAAACAGGGCCCTCGGACTGATCGAACCAGCTGGCAGAGGGGGAGGCGGCCCATTACTCGGGATAAGTGACCCATTACTGTGACCCACGTGAAACAAAACCGCATGCAAGGGGAGCTCCAAAAATACACGAGCACCTACAGGGTTACATCTGGCCGATCTATATCAACAGCAAATTGAGAATTAAAGTGCACTCTGAAATCATGGGAATGCACCGGGGCAACGAGGAAGTTCTAATATGTACTCTGAATGCATCACTGCTTCTCGGAAACATAAGCAGACCACATACTGCTTATCACAACTAATATTTAGTCGATGAGACTGGTTTTCCTCTTTGTCTGTGGAGAACAACAGTTACTGCCTGTTGGGTGAAACTTATACTTTTCCTAGATCTCATAATAGTAATTTCAGTGAAATTTATAGTCCAAATTTGATAGGATAAGTCATAGTAATAAAAATTTCTTTTCTTCATATAGCAACCTATTGGCCAAAAAACCCACCGAGGTCAAGGAAGTATATACCCAATTTTACAACACAGCTGCACGGAGGAGGTTTCCAAATCTGAGTACACGGCAAAACATTTTCTTATGTTACTGTCTCATTAAAGAAAGAACTGCTAGGCTGGCCAGTTCACTCTACTCTAAGGAAACGTTTTCTTATATTTCACATTCTCATCTGAAATCTGCCAGGGTCAACCTCTGATAATGAAGCACGACCATGTTTTCATGAATAGCACAGGAAAGTAAATGTACACCCAGGGGCTTTTTTCAGAGGGCACCTTCCTGGGGGCCAGAGACAGCACTTTGATGTTTATTCCTGATTTATTATTATTATTAATCAGTTTTCAGAAAGGAAGTTAAGAAATGATTTAAAGAACAGCCATAAGGTAAAGGGTATGACGTTCAGGTGTGGTTTATGTGCAACGTGTTTTATTAAATAGGCATTAAAAAAACCCAAAGAGTAAAATCTAAAGGATCATCAATAAACTTTACTCATCAGATAATTTATTATGTACGCATCCATTTTTCTGGGCTGCAGCAATGAAGCCTGTATTATGAAGCCACGACAACTAGTGCTTCGACATCCCGATCAGCTGGCCCATCTGCTGCAGTAATGGCTGGGCGCCTCCCCACTGCACAAGTGGAAAACAAGAAAACACAGCACACAGCTTTCCCCTTTATATGACCGCTAACATTGTTAAGACATGTTAGAGAACACGCAGTGTAAACCAGGCAGCTTTCAAAGATTTAATTGCTATTAGCCAAAGCATAGACCTAGAAGTAATCCTAGTCTAGTTTTTCTTTCCTCCAATAAGGCCGCATTTTTTTTCTTGTTAGGATAAGACTATTCAGCTTACTTAATCGTATGTATGCAGTTCATAAATTGCAAATACAATTCTATTTTTTAAGGGTCAACAGCTTGCTTTTTGAGATCATATATTCTGCCTTAACAATTTCATCCATCAGCAAGACAGGAAAATGCCCCAGAGTAGGGATGTGCTTGGAATAATGGCAGTCGTGATAGCTGACCATCTTCTGCAAACCACACCGATACACTTTACATACAATTCTCACTCAGTACACATAACAACCATGCCAAGTAAGTTTCTTTGTTCCCTAGATGAGAAAACTTAGACTTAGCTACGAAGTAACTAAGACGAGGTGTGGACTCAAGCAGAGTACATCTTCCCATAGTTTAAACCATCTCTACACGATTCATGCTCAATACAATGTAAATGCCAAATACATAGTTGTTACACTGTATTGTTTAGGGATCAGCTCTCTGGGATATTTTTTTCCTGCATATTTTTGATCCACTGTTGGTTGAATCCATGGATGCGGAACCCACAGATGAGGGCCAACTGTATACACATCTGCTTTCCCTACCCCCCCTTGTGGGAGTGGGGGAGAGACAGAGAAAATGAGGTTAAATATTGACAATAGTAAACCTGGCTTAAGTGTATATGGTGTTCTATGCACTACTCTTATTCTTGCAACTCTTCCGTAAATTTGAAGTTAAATGTTAAATAAATTAACAGTACAGTCCACCACTGCCCCCTATCCCCACCCACGGCACTTCCTACCCCCTTCACTTTGCTTCCACTCCGTTTCCACCTTTGAACGTACTGACTTACACACAGTTTTAGGTTTACTACCATCTCCCCTTAGCAGACTGAACTTGGAGAGGGCAGAGCTTCTCCTGTGCCTTTAAGTCCATAACAGGTGCTCAGTGACAGTGAATGACACGTGGCAGATGAAGGACAGTTTGGCAGGGGCAGCGGGTCCCCCAGGGTAACTGCCTCACCCAATGCCCCAAGCAACTCTTCCTCCAGCCCCAGCTCAGGACTGGGGGGTTTACTCTGCATAAAAATGGAGAGTTTTCGGACCCGGGCACACTGGACACAGAGACAGGCAGGGGAAGGGGCCACCTGAAGGCCCAAGTGCTAAATGCCCACCTGCCGTGCAAGCCCAGTCTCCGGTGCAGGCTCCAGTTGATGGTGCTGCCCTCAGGCAGGAGGTCAGAAGAGTTTTTTTTGAGAGATGAATAGCTCTAGAGAAAAACATACACATGACACTGGGGAACAAGCCTCCCTGCCACCCCATAAAAAAAAAAAGCCAGGACACCTGTCCGATCACCCTGCAGTGAAGCTGACTAGCTGACCGGGCTCACTCCCACACAAAACCTCCTGGGACTCTCGGTGCTTCTTTCTCACAATATGAACAGATAACAAGGGGACGTCGGACACTCGAGGAAAGCTTCAGAGCAGTCAGATTAACACAAGCTAAACAGAGAAGAGGGACTCAGAGGGTCAGAGACAACACAAGAGCGTGACAAAACTGCAGAAATTTGCTGTCCTTGGAGGGAGTGAGCCACGAGTTCATAGAGACTGCACCACAAAAGGGAACTGAGAATAAGAAGCTACCTCAGAAGTTATTTGCATAAAGGCTGAAATCCAAGTTCAGTTAGATGAATTTCAAGACACAGTAGGGGGAAAAAAAACCCATACTGTTCATTGTATTCAAGTTAAAAAACCCCCAAAACCCAAACAAACAGATGAACGATAAAAACTAAAACAAAACAAGAGAATCATCTCTGGAGGTTTGACACACAAAGCTTGAGAAGACAAAGAGGAAAAAGTACAAGAGAGGTTTTCAGTATGTTCGCATGCCAGTTTCCAGATTAAAAAGGATCAAGAGTCCAAAAAATATCATCGTTAAATATAATAGTGGGAATAAAGATTCTAAAACTGCCCAGAGGAAAGAACGGGTCACACGAGGAATAACACTCCACACGGCAGGCTGCCCAGTGGCAGCGAGGCGGCGACCACAGCCGGTACCGCGGAGGCAGCAGTGGGGGCGGCAGACTGGCGCACTGCGGAGCAACCTTCCTGCCAAGTACAACTGCAAAGGCTGCAGAAAGTCATGTTTAGAAGCGCCTTTGAAAGCACCAAAGGCGGGGGTGGTCTGAGGGGCCCTGTTTCTGGAGAAAACGACACTCGGAGAGGTGTCCTGACACAGCTCCTCCACGGCACGTGCAGATTTCGAGCAGGAGCTGAAAGAGCAAGAGGCCATAGAACCCTCCTTCAGCTCAAGTGTCAAAACGCTGGCATTTGCTGCCATTAAAAAGAAGCATCCTAGGCTCCCAGTGGGACCTACTGAAGGGCCCCTCTGTAGAAAGCGATGAGCTGGAAAGAGACCAGCCCCCACACAGGCAGGTCTGGTTCAGCCAGGTCCCCACGGCACTGAAGTCACTGGTCCTTCCTACAGCTGCTAGGCAAAAGCAAAAGTAAATCCTTCCCAGAGGGAAACAGAAGCCTCGTATTGTCTTCACAGCTTTTCATACACAATGACGGGTGTTCAGATAAAACAAAAACCTCGCCAAGTGGTGATGGCTAATTTTCTGTGCTGACTGGAACGGCCACGGGGTGGGTGGTCAGATACCTGAAGTATGGGACCGAGTAGAGCAGACTGCCCTCCCCAGTGGCAGTGGGCCTCATCCAACCTGCTGAAGTCCTAAACAACGCAGGCCAAATAAGAGAGAATTCCCTCCGTGGACTGCCTTTGACCCGAAACACTGTGTTCTCCTTGCCTTGGGACCCAAACAGAAATACCAACTCTTCCCGGGTCGGGTCCGAGCCCACCTGCTTGGGGAAAGCAGTGGCGCCGTCAGCTCCCCTGCGTCCCCAGGTGGCCGACCACAGATCTGGGCACGTGCCAGCTTCCGGAAGTGTGGCAGCCACCGCCTCACAGGTGACTTCTTTCTGTGCGTGCACACACATCCTTCTGCCTCTCGGGGGGAACCCTGACGAACATGACAAGTTCCCGAGGGACAAAGCAACAGGACCAAAATCAAAGAAGAAAAAAGCAGAGAAGAAATGCAACTACCTGAGTGAGACTCAGCTACTGAAATTTTCAGATAGAATCTTTATTTTTATTTCAAGTATATCTATGATTTTTTATATTTCAAGAATAAAAGTAATTAAAAAATTATCAGCAGTATAAAGGAGAATAAAGTCAGACATTGATGTTAAAATAACTGTGATTAATATAATCAAATTAAGGGACAAGATGTAGAATTTCAGGAATTCTGCATTAGTCACTATAAAAATAATAAAATGGAAATTCTGTAAGCAAAAAAAATGGAATGACTGGAATTGAGAATGCAAGAGATGGGTTTAAAATCCATTCACGGCTCACGTGAGGATGAGTAAACTGAAAAGCAGGTCAGAAGAAAATACCTAGACTGAAGCAGAGAGAGAAAAAAAGAGCTACTGTGTGTAAATTATACCTCAATTAAAAAAAGAAAACCTCAAAAATTGAATAGGATCAAATAAATATGCAATGCCTATAATAAAAGGTGGAATATATAAGAATTATGAGAAGACGGGCTACAAAGGAAGGATGGTAAAAATGTGAAGAACTGGGAGAGTGGGAGTCTGCACTCGGATGGCTGATTCTGAAAGACAGACAGGCATCTCTTAGGTGGTGGGAGGAAGAGGCAGAAAGAAAGTGGACAAGAAACAGAAGAGTTAGGAGGCGGCACAAGGCATGTCCAGGGCAGGCACAGGAACTATGGCCCACGAAGACAAGGGGAGGCTGTCTCCCTCACCTGGTCCCTCACGGGGACGGAGAGTTCCCCTGGGGCCCACAGCACTGGAATCTGCCCAAGTTTTTGGGAAATCGGTGTTCAGTAACATTACTGAAACCTTCAGAGCCTTTCCCTTCTGCACTAGAGCACAAGAAGCTCCTAGCATTTTCCTGGGGGTGGCAGGTTATGAAAGAGGAAAAGGCTGCATCGCTTACACTCCACGTGGCTTCCTGCAGAAGCTCCCGTGACGGCGCTGGTGAGGAGGGAGCTAACACTGGAGGTGGAGCTTCTGAACTTGTTGACAGCCTTCAATAATGTGCTCTCCCTCTGCTACCTGCAGAGCTGACACTGGTGATGATTTACTGTCTGGTTTCTTAGGGACGGGTTGCCAGGAATGGTGCTGGCTTCAGTCCTTACCCACTCATCAATATGCCTCTCTGACACCTGATAATCTGGCTGCTTCCCAACCAAGTACAATGAGTCTGAACCGGCTTGGAATGCATGATCTCGAAGCAACCGCATTTTATTCTTGTGAAGCATCTTTCCTTTAGTGCCTGCCAGGCTTTTTCCACTCCAGGGAATTTTTTTTGTGGTCTACACTGCATATTGTTCACAGACTTTCCACCCGAGCAGGGAGGGCTAACAGCGTCATGCGTCCTGGGTAAGCATGTTGGGGGCCTTTCCTTCCTTACAGATCCCATCCGTGGTTCTCTTCTCTACAGGCCGACAGACCTACAGAGAACTCTCCCTGGAACAAACAGTGGCTACCAAAGAAAGTCCCCCCAAAGAATTTTGTTACACCGTTCCTCCTCTTTTTGTATCTCTTCTCTGCCATCTCTGTGCACTGAGGCTCTAGGAATTCCTCTCCTGCGAACATCCAGTTCATTAGCATAACATGGTCCAAATGTAGCAAGGTACCAGCTATGTTCCTCAGACCTGTATCCCTCTGACAGCAAGGCTATTAAGAAAAAGACACCTCTTCCTTAACATGGGCCACCTACTCATACCCCAGAGCCTCTTCAAGTCCTTACTGCTATGAACCGCACGGTCTGATGGGAAGTACACATACCTGTATGTTTTAAGGCCTGCTTCAGCCCAGGGGTACGACGAAAGATGATGTGAACCCAACCTCTGATTTGCTATCACATTCTAGTAATAATCATGAGTCAGGCCATCAAAAGGCACGCCCACCAACAACACACAATTTGTTTTTTGGGGGGGGGTGTTAATTAAAAAGAAATCGCAATTTACCTTGAGTAGAGCAGGATGAGTAGGTAAGACAGGGAAGGGGCTAGAATGGCTGCTGGCTCGGTGCCCCTGCTGGTCCCAAGGGCGGGCTCTCCTGCAGAGACGCCATGAAGTTGATGTGACCCTTAAATTCCCTTTGCATTTATTGTCTATTGCTGTATATGAGATTATAAAAATCTTTCTGTCTCCTGAACCAGTGTTCTGCTACAAAGTCACACAAATTGCTTTCTTAAAATAAGAAAATGCACAATCATGAAATGATTACAATAGTGAAGAAATATATGCCATTAAAGAAAATTTTAAAAATAGAAAATAAATAGGAAAAGCCACCCCAAAACTTACCACCCAAACACAGCTACTGTATTCATTTTGGGAATTTTATTTTCAAACTTTTTAATGTATGTTTTGTTTTGATATATATTTGTCTGTATCTTTACGTCTTTGTTAATTTCTATAATTAACTTTTATGTATTATAATGTCTTCTGAAAATGTAACTTTAATACTTCACATTCCATGTTCTACTTAACCTTCCCTTTGGAGTCAGACATTAGGATGTTTTCAATTTTTTGTCACAACAAACAATATTTTTGTACCTGAGTGTTTTCTATTTTTGAGATTTTCTTAACATAGATCCCAAAGAAAAGGATTAGTAAGTTCAAAGGGTATGAACATTTTTGACAGGAATTATTTCTTCCTGATAACTCGGGATCACTGTAAAAAGGTGGGCGCAGTGTGGCGTGTCCCCTCCAGCACACCCCACCTCCGATCCTGCGACCCCCCGGGGCACACCCGCTGGTGTCCGCCTGCTCGGACTCCGCAGCTGCACCCACACTGGACACCGCGCTTTCTGAACACGCAGCACGGCAGCGCACTCTGACAGCTGCTGAGGGACGTTCATCACACATTAGCAAGCACTACTCTGCTCAGCAAACGCACACTGGGCACTGCCACATTGTCACTCACTGCTGTGTCACTCAGCGTGCTACCCACACTTTTTTTGAGAGGTTTTATTTGCTAGTTCTTCAGTGAATTATCTGTTCATGTTCTTTGCACCTTTATCAAAGAAGCTGTTACAATAAGTTACTGTTTTAGCTTCACAGTGAAGAACATGGACTTTGGAGTCAAACACACATGGTTCAAACTCCAGCAGACGCTCAACGAGTCGTCTAACCTTGAGCAAGCTGCTTCCGCCCAACGCCACAGTGTCCTGATGTGTGACATGGGAAAGCAAAAGCCCCTCAGGGTTGTGGAAAGGACTAACTAAGGTCCATAAATTATAACTACAGTAATATGATAAGTAATCATAGTTGAAAAATTCAGCCAATAATTTAATCTTCAATTACTTTAAATATCTGCAAGAGAATAAATTTTTGCATCTTAATAAACAGCAATGCAAATGCAGCTGGACTTTCATTTTTTCTTATTAAGTAAAAACGCAGCCAAGAGGCACGGCACCACCTCCTCGGGGCCCCGAGCAGGGGACAGCTTTTCACACGCGCTGTGCAAGGCCACAGACCCGCACACCGGGCTTTCCTGCAACAAACAGATGCCCTTTCTTTAAGCAACTTTGCGTTCTGTTTTAAGAAGCTATTTACTGAGTTTTAAAAGCAATTTGTAGAATATTCAGTATATTCAGTTTCTCTGGATACCACCCCAATCTTCAAAAGCATATTTACTTTTACCTTCTTTTCTACTTTCTGAAATGTACAAATATATTACCTCTTAAAATTGGGAAAATCCTTTAATTTAAAGAAAGATCTTTCAAACCACTGTAAAAATACATCGACTGCATTAAGTAATACCAAAGACCTGCCGTTAACTCTGCCGGGTGAGATGATGACATGCAGTTATAAGAAGAGGTCCTCTTTAAAGGGCGCACGCTGAAGTATTTCAAGGTGAAATAACATGAGGGCTATAATCAACTTGAAAGTATTTAAGAAAGAAAAGGAGGTAAAGATAACAAAATATTAGTAGCTATATTATTCTAAATAGTGGACATCTGAAGATTCATTATACAACTATTTCTGCTTTTCTGTGAAATTTTTTATAATAAAGTTGTTAAGTGATCAATTAAAAAGTGTCCCCTGCCCCTTTCTGTCTGTATTGGCTTAGGCAGCTGTACTGATGCTCCGCCACAGGGCTGTGACTGCGTCCGCCTGCTTCGGCCCCTGGCCTGGGCCGGGCCTAAGTCCCCCACTCACAACAGGCTGGGGCAGCAGTGACTGGCTAAAGGCCCGCACACCACAGACTGTTGACTTCCATCACGACAGGAAAATCCTCAGAGCCTGTTACACACCACATGCACAACCCCTTCGGTGCCTGGAGACTCCAAGAGTGCCGACTACAGAAGGCCGCTGCAAAACCCAAGATTGAGAACTTGCACACAAAAGCTCAGGGCTCCCATCGGCCTCCACCAACAGGCCTCTGCTCCCTTGCCACTTAAACCCTGGCACTGAAGACTGCAGAGGGACGAAAACGAAACATGCAGCCCCGTCACGGTTTGACCCTGGTGACTCAAACAAATGAGACGATGCAACCTGGCAGTTCCCTGAACAGGTGGCACTATTGGCACCTTCACTCAAGGGGCTGCTGTGCTTGGGGATCGGGTCACAGGTGCGCAGAGCTAGAATACCTGAAATGTGGAAAAAACCTTTCCTTTAGAGAACTCGACTGGCAGTCCAAGGAATGGCAGGAGGCAGAACTGACAGGTTACGGAAAGATCGGGGACGGATTTAATTGTCCATTGATCACAGCACACCCCGGGTGGCAAGCTCCTGGAAAGCCGAGGCCGGTGGGTCTCAAACTCGAGCATCTGCCAGAGTCCCTGCTGCACTTGTTAAAACCCCGGCTGGTGTTCCCGGCTCTAGAGGTTCGGATGCAACAGGCCCGAGTGGGGCCCAGTAGCCTGCATTCTTAACACGTTCCCAAGTGATGCGGACGCTGCTCTGAGAACCACTGGCTTAGAGAGCTGCCTGATCCCCGAGTGTCCTCAACTACGGTCCCCCACACCACTCCTGGGCCGGGAAGAGCTGCGGACAGAACGTGTCCAGGCAGCACGGGCAAGCTTTTCTCTGGCTGGCAGCTGCTTCACTTCTTTGGCCCCACCTGTCCCTTTCAACACATCTCGCAAGCTCCCAAGATACTGGACCTTGGAAAGGACGAGGGGAATTTTCCGCATCTGACAGTGTCATGGGCACAAAAATACTAAGATGGTTCAATATTTAAATCTGAAAGTGTTCAGAAATTCTCAGATGAAATGCATTAGACAAAGTACTAAGTATTAACATGCATGAAGAATGTTCTATTACAAACCCCTGTTTTCACTTTCTTGAAGCTTTCCAAAAAAATTAGCCCTTTGTGGTGAAATTTTCCATGCTTGGTTTCAGCCCAAAGGTAATTTTTTTTTGCAAACTTTGAGAAAAATATATTAAATCGTTTTCTGAGTTATGAAAAGATGAAAAAAGCCCACACAATTTTTCCACTTTGAAAGCAATTTCAGGATTTTAAAAAACATGCAGATAACTAAGAATGGCTGAAGTTGAAAAGTTGAAACTTTCCATGTGTCTGATTTTCAGCAAGGTAGTCAGTCTCCCGCGTAGTTCAGAAAAGATAATGTGTGCGCACACTCACAGACATGACTATAGATTTAAATAAGTTCGTAAGTGACTGAAGAACATTTTACCATCCTCAACGCAAACTTTCCTCAGAGCAGGGGATTTATCCCTTTCTGAAACGAAGGGTCTTTCACCAACCAGAGTTCGTCCCGAGGTGCTGACTGCCTGACCCCATGGCTTCCACGCACCAGGGGTCACTAATGAGCCCCTGCGTGGACGCAGCAGTGGAGCTACGACGCACAGTCTCGCAGAATCCAGTTCCCTCCAACTCTACTCCCCAGTCTGCCCCAGCTGGAGTCTAGGATTCTGAGCACCGTCCTCTGAGTTCGATTTCTGCCCCGGGGCCCAGGGCCTCAGTGCCAACTCCCTTTACCTTCTCTGTGGCAGATTGCTCACAAGTTCGCATCTCCCGATCCTCTCTGAGGTCCCTGAAAGCACTGCCCTGCTTCCCGCTACCCCTCCGCCCACCCCATGTATTTGAAGAGCTCAAATATTAAAGAAACAACAGTAGAAATCTTATGTTTACATCAAATAGGTTTTGGTGGCTTGCCAACGTAACTTATTCGAGCCATCTATAATCATAACCTTCTCAACTACTACTCCACCTAAAAGCAGATAATGGGAAAGGTAGGAAACAGCACACAGAGTCCCAGTTCTGCCATTTCCTAGCTAAGTGACATATGGGTTAGACACATAACTCCTTGGACCTTTAGTCTCCTTCTCTGTAAAAAGGGAAAAATCAGGTTATCAAATGACCTTGTCACATGTGAACATGTTTTGTAAACTTCAAATAAATATTGAGTGTAATTGCTAGAAAAGACAATACAGCAATTTCAGAAACTGTTCGAGGTTTCTAGGCTCAAATAAAGAACAAGGATGAGGCACAAAAACACATTTGCAAGATTCAAAGATTAAGAAAAATTCAATTTTCCTAGTTTTCAAGCGTGCCTAAAAAACGAACAGAAGGACACCCGGCCAACAAACATTCCGACACCTCTGCCTGCACGGACTGTTTGCCTCGGCGCATGTTAAATTATTTCCCACTTACAGGACGAAGACATCTCTTCACCAGCTTCTTCCTTAAGCTATCATTTGTCTTCTCCCCTTCACTGGCCAATTCCTGGATAACTATCCATTTCTCACCTGCAATCTCCTCCCATTATTTCACTAAAAACATTCTCTTCCGATTACTAATACCTGGAGCCTTAAGTTCCCTTTCTCTTTAGCCTCTGTTTCACTCCCTCCACGATCCTTCCTACCTGCTACATGACGGAGCAGCCCCCGACGCACGGTCTGAAGCCACAGTGATCAGTCCTTCTGGTTTTGTGTGGTCCGGAATTCAGACAGGGCTCCGCCGGACTCTGCTCCAGTGGGTCACTCCCTCGGGTGTATTAGCAGCAGACGGGATAGGCCCGAAGGCCCAAGGTCCCCTGCACTCCTGGTGCACCGTGATCCAGTGGACTTTTCACACAGCAGCTGGCTTCCAAGGGGGAGGAGACAGAAGCGCCCAGTACCCTTAAGCCCTAGGCTTGGAAGTGCCAGAATATCACTTCTTCTGTACCCCATTGGTGACACCTAGTCACACGTCCAGCCCAAGTTCAAAGTGGAAGGAAAAGAGACTTCACCTCTCAAGAGGAATGGCAAAGAATCGGTGGCCATCTTTACCACATATCCATAACTTTCTTGACATTTTCTTTCTCTCCACTTAGTTTCTGGGATATATTTCAGTCTATGGGATTTTTTTTTACCTTGACCCACAGAAAGATATACATTCTACATTGTAATGTAGGACGTTAACACACATACTCATAAAAAATGAAACAAAAGTTTCACAATACCTGTCTTTAATAGAATCCAACACACAGTAATATTTTCTATCCTTGTTTACTCTATTTACTTTATTTTACACACACACACACACTTTTTTCTTTAAATGCTGTTTCGTTGTTCCCTTCTCGGTGGAGGGTTATGCTTTGCAGACCTGGGCATGTAAGTTGTTCTGTCCAGCACAGTGTGAGGAGTGACAGTGACCTCCAAGCAGAGGTTTTAAAATACAGTGTGTGGTTCGTATTTCTTCTATCCTCTGCCATGCAGTCGGA